GAAACATAGGAAATACCAACAGAAGTCAAAGAGCTAAAAAACTCATTGACAACTAAAAAATATACTAGAGTAGTTCAAGAGCAGACTAGATGAAGCAGAAAAGATAAGCCAACTTGTCAACTTGAAGACAAAGTAGTGGAACTCACCCAATCAGAGCAGCAAAAAAAAAAAAACTGTAAAAAATGAAGAAAGTTTAAAGGAATTATGGGACATCAAATGGATTAACACTTCCATCATAGCTCTCCCAGGAGGAGAGGGAAAGGGGAAGAAATCTTACGTGAAGAAATAATGGCTGAAAACTTTCCTAACCCTGAGAAGAAAATAGACACCCAGATTCAGGAAGCTCAGAGAGTTCCAAACACGAGGAACCCACACCAAGACACATTATAACTAAAGTGTCCAAAGTTAAATCAAGAAGAGTTTTAAAAGCAGCAAGAGAACACTTCTTGTTTACAAAGATGAGAGAATCATTGATCGGCTTGTCTCCTACCAATAAGGAGACAGATTAGACTATCAACAGATTTTTCAGCAGAAACTTTGCAGGCCAGAAGGGAGTGTCACGATATATTCAAAAGGCTGAAAGAAAAAAAAACTGCCAACCAAAAATACTCTCCCCAGCAAAATTGTCATTCAGAAACGAAGGAGACAAGCAAAAGCTAAAGGAGTTCATCACCACCAATCAGACATTCCAAGAAACATTACAGGGACTTCTTCAAGCTAAAAAGAAAGGGTGTTAGTAACAAGAACACATATGAAAGAATAACTCTCACTGGAAAAGTAAATATATAATAAAGGTATTGGACTAACCACCTCAGACTCATCACAATACGTTTTTTCTCTTAAAACACTTCTTTTTTAAAACTTCTCGGTATGGCCTAGCTGTTGTGGCTCAGTGATTGAGCATCCACCCATGAACCAGGAGGTTCATGGTCACCTTAGGATTCCTGTTTAGGGCACATGCCCGGGCGGCGGGCTCAATCCCCAATAGGGGCGTACAAGAGGCAGCCGATCAATGATCAATGATCAATGATTGTAGCTCTCTCTCCCTCTCCCTTCCTCTCTGAAACCTATAAAAAAAAAAACTTTTAAAAGAAAGAAAAAAACTTCTCATGACGCAGTTTAGGCTTCCCTCCCCTTCTCTCTCTGCATGTGGGCAAGGCTGGAATTAGGCAGTCACCATATTACTAAAATGGGCAAAGAAAACAAACCAACGACGACTGAATGTAACTGTAAGCATTTCTGAACCAGCGCAGCAGTAACGTTCACTTCTGTCCTCTAACGCGTCCTCCTTACAAGGAAGCGGCAGGTAGGGTGGCGGAGGGAGACCGGAGACCACTGCCGCTCCCCACTCCCCCCCGCCCCCGCCCGTTGACCGTGGACAAACGGGCAGGCCCGTGGGGTGAGGAGTCCGCTGCCCCGCACTCCGCCCAGGCCTCCAGGAGCAACAACAGACTGGGGACGGGGCGCAAAGCAGGGGGCCGGGAGGAGGGACGAAGGGGCGCCGCCCCGACGTGAGGCTCGGCGGCGGGCAGGCCCCAGACTCACGTTTGTACTCGGCCATCAGCCTCTTCAGCGCCGTCCCCGCCATCGTCGGGGAAACAGCTGTGCCGTCGGACGTCGCCGCTAACCGAT